GTTGCTGTCTTGCCAATCTATTCCAGTAAAACAGCCTGCACTCATGTGTTCCACGTCGATACAAATTGATTTTCAAGATGTTGCTGCTTTGTAGCGCACCACGGTGAGAGGGATGGAGGCGGTCATGAAACGCCGGACTCCTTTGGGAACCATCATGAAGACGGGGAGGAGGAGGAGGAGGAGGAGAGGAGAGAGAAAAAGCAGAAAGGTAGAACTCAAACAGGCAGCGGATTAGCCATCATATTGGGATTTTGAATCATCAGGATGAGGTCAAAAGGTTATCGGGGTTTTCCTTTCTCTGTGTAAGCCAATGCAGTGGTGCCTTGAGTTAGGAGTGGCTCTACTTATGAGTTTTTGAGTTATGAGCTGTCAGTGGGCAGATTTTTCTGCTCTGAATTGCAGGCAAAATTTCAGCACATGAAGTTCTTTATTAGCAGTGAAATCGACTCACTTCACAACAGTTTTTAAATTGGCAGTTCAAAAAAGTAGTTTCAGCTTCTTGAGTTCAAATTTACTGTCAAACTAAACATAAAACAAAGAATTACACATTGTATATTTTAAACACACAACTTAGCCTAGGTTAATGATAACACACAATGGGAAACACCATAAACAAATGAAACTAGTGTCAGTATTCCGTTAATTATAACCCTTTAAGAAATTGAACAAAATCAGTGCATCAAAACCTGCGAAAGACAAACTTTCAAAACTTACCTTCGAGATCTAACGAATGGCACCTAGAGTATGTGGCCGTGTTACAAGCAACAGATACTCAAGCCGCTAAACTCACAAGTGTCACAGGCATCCATTACAGCTGATGTATTGCTCCCGTCCCCTGCTTTACATTTGCCCTACATTTCTAAAGAGTTGTGGATCAGGACTTTTTAAAACGGCAATTTCTCTCCTTCCGACACGTGCACAGGGAATAATTTGCATAGCCTTTCAGGAAGATCCCTTCAGTTCTTTTTAAAGCACGGTAGGTTAGTCATCAAAGATTGAACAAAAGGGCAATAAAACAAAAAGGGGTCATAAAAGCTCAAACGTTGCTCAGAGAAAATGGCAGGAATGAATTTCTATCATCACAATTAACTGGTTAAGATTATTAAGTGGCACCTTAACCAATGGATTTAATTTGTTCTGTGACCATGCTCCTATATTAAATTATTTTTCAAGATTGAAATGAATAGAAATGTATGTAGCTAGTTTCAGACCCACCAACAAGTTGTGTTGGGTTTTTTTCTTAATGATGTAAACAGCACTTTAAAACATTTACTTTATAAAACAAACATAATAAACCAAATATAAAAAAGATAACCAGCACGATTTGAGCACGATTAATTCATTGCGATGCCTTCTGTTGAGTGTGACTTAGCCACTTGGGGGATCAGTTTAAAACAGCCATGGAGACAGAAATGAAGATTTTCACAATTATAGTATGGTTTAGTAAATTGCGGTAATAGTTGTCATTTTTCACAGAGGATAAACAGTATATGCATGAGGATTGTGATATTTTTTTCAATGGGTTTGCTTCAAAGGTTACAACTACCGCAACGATGTTAAGTTTCATTAGCCCGTCTACTGGATTTCCCATTATGTGTTAGCATTAAGCTAGTGGAGATAAAATGTTTGTTTTAAATATACAAAGTGTAGTTCTCTTTGTTTGAATTTTAGATTGACAGTAAACTTGAACTCGAGAGTTTGAAGCCTCTTTTATTTCAAGAATTGTTCTGCCAATGTTACCAGTAAACTTGAACTCGAGAGTTTGAAGCCTCTTTTTTTTTTCAAGAATTGTTCTGCCAATGTTAATGCTTGTTGGAAAAGTGAGTTCGGTGGACTTCGACTGAACAACAGGTCTTATCTTAAAAAACTCCGTCAGGTAATATACGATTTAGCTTGTACGGAGAAATGATGTCAGGGTAGCCCTCGCATCCTTACGTTTTTCTGCCCGTTTGAAAATTCCTGCTGTGACTGTAGGAAGCAGGACAATGTGCCAACTTGTGGCGAAGCAAACTCTCAAGCGTTTTCCTGCATTCCTCAAGGGCTCCTGAAATTCTTGATGTCAGGCCAGCCCGGGGCAAGACATTTATTTGGAATCATATATGATCATTTCAAAGGTAAGAGACCACGGGGAGGGTCATCCACTACACAGCGGGAGCTTGGCGCAAATCAGAGAAGGTGTGTGTCTGTGATTTAGGTGTAGCCTTTCATCACATTTTGAAGATCTAGCAGTTTAAAAAAAAAAAATTGTGGAAAAATTCTTCACTCCATTTTTGTTTCATCTTCTATCCCCCCCATGCATCTGAGACTCCTGTGTGGTTGTGTTTGCATTCCATGCATGATCAAGGTAAGTGTAGGCCAATTTGCACACTTAAGCCAGACAACTGTCGAGCTTCGGTTTCATAAAAGCTGCTCGTTAACGAAAAAAAAAAAAAGATGATAGCTCACGATTGATAAATAGCAATAAAGCAACATCTTGACTCGTGGCATTGATTCGGCGAACAGGGTCCCGGTGCCTCTCTCAAGTCTGCAGCGTAATTGGCCATTTATATTTAATCAGGGCACTTCTTCTTCCTTCTCGCTCGCTTCCCTCAGTGCTGAGAGAGGCACTTTACGGCACCGCGTTCGCCAACTTCCTTTAAACCTGCTCATTCATAATTCACGCCGCAGCGTCCACCAAACAATAATCAAATAATAATGTGACGGCTGATTAAACAGCTAAACCACCACTTTTTAATGCGCATTTAAATGCATATTTGCACAAACATGCCTGGTAAATATCTAAATGTCGAAAAAAAAATCATAATAAATTGAGAGTGATGCCTTGCAGCTGACCGTTGGTCTGAGCCAACTTATGAAGCTTAATAAAACCGTAATTAGGCAGCAGACTTGGTGCGGATAATCGCAACGAGAATGTGGAGCAGTAGCTCTCACTTTAAATGATTGCCAGCTTTTATTTGGGGGTGTTGGCCTCCCGCCCCATAAGCTTATTCACATTGCTACTTAGGATGGAAAACGTTTCATTTCTTCAAAAGCAGCGCTTTGCAAAAGTTTACTAATTTGCTTCCGCCTGGTTGTTTGTTGGCGGGGGCGCTTCGATTCTGTCGACAGGTGATTGTTTTTGTTTTTTTTTTTTCTTAAGTGTACAGCGTACCTCCTTTATCACACTTCAGTGTGCCAGTATGTTTCTATTTCGTTTCAGACAGAAGTGTGGCTATCACCATTTGAGATGTTGGGCTCTGCAGGGTTTTTTGGGTGGTTAAGATGCTTGCAGGTTGACATTGGGTCAGCCAGCAAGAAGTTTTTCTATCCCCGACTGCCATCCGGTGCCAGTTCGAGAAGCTTTAAGGCCGTGAAACTGCTGACATGCATCGCACAACGTACGCTATCCATGGCAAGTTTCCCGAAACTGGATCTGTTCTTGACACAGCACCCATGTTGGATGGCTGACTACTGCCACTACAGATGAACACACTTAATCCCGAAAGCAGACTATCACACAAAGACAAGGAACATCCATCCAGAGGGCATCACTGAAACTAAGCAATAACAAAAGCTTGCTCCAGTGGGTGCTTTGGCAAGTGATAAAACTTTCCTTGTACCGACTTCAGGTTGTTGAGCATCATCACTTTCCTCCCTTGAAGCCTTTGAAAAAGCTAAAGTTGGTCCTGGGAAAGCTTTATGAACTGATCTTATGTTGATGCTGAGTTGCAGTGCGGTTCGTCGTTCCCTGGCTTTGCGCGATGACTAAGTGTTTCCATCAGCGGCATCAACAGCAGCGTGGTTTGTCAAGAAGAGATCCTGTTTCGAGAAACTTCCCACGGAGGGTGTCAATTACGTTGCAGCAGTGCGATGGCAATAAAGCTTCTAAACTTGGCGCTAAACGTCCAACTGGAGCAGAAAAACCGCAAAGCCTCAGATACCAAATGCTGATGCCTCATGTCTGTCCGAATGATACCTGAAACAAAGTTGTCGTCCAATGGACTTCCAGGTGGAAAAAACTCTGACTGTGTTTGCGAAAGCACAGCCAACGTCCAGTTGAACTGAAAAATAAAGAGCTTGGGGGTTGCTTTTATTTTTTCAGGCCAACTTGTCGAGGGTTGGTTGTCTTAATGGAAGGAGGACATTGATTTTTCAGAATAGTTGTAGATTGGGCACAATCGGCAATTTGCCACAATTGTCTATGTAGGCCATTATCGTATTTTTTCACGTCCACAGTGGGTTGTGATCAGTTGTTTGGCAAATTTGGCGATCTGTTTTTTTGGGGCATTCTCGAAGGAAATGCCAATGGTTTGACAAAGTTGTGGGAAGGGTTGTGGTGGTTTGATCTTTTTTTGGATGTTTTTGTCGAAGGGGTGTGATCGATTGTTTGACAAAACTTGGGAGACAGTAACGGCATGGTAAATCTTGTGCCTGTGTTTTTGTTGACAGGGGTGCGATCAGTCATTTGGCAAACTTGGCAAAGGTCAGTTTTATGGTGTACTTATCGACAGATGATGTGAATGGCTGTTCGGCAAACTTGTTGACAACGTTGTCGAGGAAAAAAAATTTAAATAGGTGATTCTTGAGCTTCTAATCAGTTAAAAGGTTAATGACATGACATTACACTTCCTTAAACCCAATTACCACGCCGTGAGTCACGCAGCTGCACTGCACGTATGCAAACAAGCATCGAAGGCCGGCAGGCGGGCGGAGGTCCCAGCAGTAATCAGTCCAGCAGCCAAGCAGAGTCAGCGAACTGCGAGCGCGTGTCGTAACTGTGAGGGAGTGGTCCGTCTTTATTGAGCCAATACGGGACTCATAAAGCACACTGAGGGCCATCCGTTTGCTCACTGACATCAAAACTTTCCGACATTTATCACTTGCCGCTCTCGAGGAATCTTATTAAGAGTGTGCCGCTCTCCAGTCGCATTCTCTCCACGACTTCCAAGTAAAGCTGGACGGTGCTCTCCCGAGGAATAACTTGAACTTGTCTCACCCCCTTGCTCTTCATTTTCTTTTAGACTGTGAATGCTACGGCCACTCCAACCGCTGCAGCTACCTCGAGTTCCTGAAAATTGTCACGTGCGTCAGCTGCAAGCACAACACCCGGGGCCAGAACTGCCAACACTGCAGACTGGGTTACTTCCGCAACACCTCTGCTGAGCTGGATGACGAGAGCGTCTGCATCGGTGGGAAAACTGTGTGTGGGCGTGTCCGTTGAAGAGTAGTTGAGGAAAGGAAAAGACGAACACTCTTGGTGTTTATTCGACAGTAAAACTGAGACATAAGAGAATTAAACATTTTACATTTGTAATCATAGTCAGAACAATTCAATTGAATTTATAGATTTAAACAATTTGTGCATCATGATTGGTGTGCAGTGACTCTATTTAGAGTATTAGTCATAAATATATGCCAGTGAGTACTTAATGTCTGTCTGCATGCCTTGCTGCACCATTTGTATTAAAATGCTTGAAGCATTTAAATGCTGCCACATAGACGGTATTCGTCAAAAATCAAAAATAAATAAAATAATTACAAAAAGCCGCCAAAAAAGCAAGGATTGAAGTCTTGCCCAATGGGAATTTGTGGGTGCAATTGTGCCACTGTCGCACAGGTTGAAATCAGCACGAACGAAAAAGCAACAGAAACCGGTTCAAGCTTCCCTGGGAAACGCCACCAACTAAACGAGGCCGCTGGTTGTAATCCCGACATTAATGCGCATGACCCACAAACACACATACCAACCGCATTGCTGTCATATTGCGTAATCTCTACTCTTCAGGCCCACTCTACTTCTGGAAATATTTTACACTCAGGAATGCAATCTGATTTTAAGAAACAGAGAAGCTGTCAGCAACGAATCAACTCTTTTGCCTCATGATCAAAACGACAAATTATTGGCGAGCGGCTCAGCAGTCAGCTTCAATGAATATGTGAAATGTATTTATGGCGTATTACTAATCCAAAGCCTGATGGGGATCACTCAGTCAGTATTTCGCATTTCAATAAAACCAAAGGGCTCTCTGGCAGACGGTCGTATCAGACGTTTATTTTTCGACAGTGCAGTAATATTAGCCGTTCTTTGCGGAGGATAATGAATATATGCCTGTGAGTAGTGTTAGATATGCCTACATGTGTTACATGTTTGTGTCCCAATATCAATTCAAGGGTGACACCGATGCCATTGTATGTTAGCATCAACCTGAGTTATGTGCTTGTTTCAAAAGTCTGACAACTAATTGCTACTGAGGAACACACATCGAGATAGCATTGAACAATGCTCACAGGCACATATATAGTTTGCCGGTTCTCTGGGAACAACAACAATTACTGGAGTTTTGTTGTGGATCTTCTCAGGATGTAATCGGGCATCTGAGGACAAGCCCTGACTTCGATGGCAACACAATGTCCAGATTGCTTGTCGTGATACAGGAACAATGACTTTGTGTACAAAGGGCGCACATGCTTTAACGCAAGACAACCTGTCCGGAATATAAATAAACGTGCGCAAGGCGCATCATTAACAAATGTCTTCCCCTCGCCCTCGTTCGCTTCATCCCCATCAGAGTGCAACTGCAACCAGATGGGCTCCGTCCACGACCGTTGCAACGGCACGGGCTTCTGCCAGTGCAAAGACGGCACCACCGGGGCCAAGTGTGACGAGTGTCTGCCGGGCTACTACTGGAAACAAGGCTGTTACCGTAAGTGACCCCCCGCCCCCTCACTATATATATATATATATATATACACACACACACACACAC